GACGGAGCCATGTCTGAATTCCACGTCTTCCGAAACTACCACAGAACCCTGTGAGACCACGACGGAGCCATGTCTGAATTCCACGTCTTCTGAAACTACCACAGAACCCTGTGAGACCACGACGGAGCCATGTCTGAATTCCACGTCTCCTGAAGCTACTACGGAGCCATGTGAGACCACGACGGAGCCATGTCTGCTTTCCACGTCTTCTGAAACTACCACAGAACCCTGTGAGACCACGACGGAGCCATGTCTGAATTCCACGTCTTCGGACACTACTACGGAGCCATGTGAGACCACGACGGAGCCATGTCTGAATTCCACGTCTTCTGAAACTACCACAGAACCCTGTGAGACCACGACGGAGCCATGTCTGAATTCCACGTCTTCGGACACTACTACGAAGCCATGTGAGACTACGACGGAGCCATGTCTGAATTCCACGTCATCAAAAACGACGAATGAGCCATGTGAAACAACGACAGAGCCATGTCTGAATTCCACGTCTTCGGACACTACTACGGAGCCATGTGAGACCACGACGGAGCCATGTCTGAATTCCACGTCTTCTGAAACTACCACAGAACCCTGTGAGACCACGACGGAGCCATGTCTGAATTCCACGTCTTCGGACACTACTACGGAGCCATGTGAGACTACGACGAAGCCATGTCTGAATTCCACGTCTTCGAAAACAACGAATGAGCCATGTGAGACCACGACGGAGCCATGTCTGAATTCCACGTCTTCTGAAACTTACACAGAACCCTGTGAGACAACGACGGAGCCATGTCTAAATTCCACGTCTTCGGAAACGACGAATGAGCCATGTGAGACCACGACGGAGCCATGTCTGAATTCCACGTCTTCTGAAACTACCACAGAACCCTGTGAGACCACGACGGAGCCATGTCTGAATTCCACGTCTTCGGACACTACTACGGAGCCATGTGAGACTACGACGGAGCCATGTCTGAATTCCACGTCATCAAAAACGACGAATGAGCCATGTGAAACAACGACAGAGCCATGTCTGAATTCCACGTCTTCGGACACTACTACGGAGCCATGTGAGACCACGACGGAGCCATGTCTGAATTCCACGTCTTCTGAAACTACCACAGAACCCTGTGAGACCACGACGGAGCCATGTCTGAATTCCACGTCTTCGGACACTACTACGGAGCCATGTGAGACAACGACGGAGCCATGTCTGAATTCCACGTCTTCGAAAACAACGAATGAGCCATGTGAGACCACGACGGAGCCATGTCTGAATTCCACGTCTTCTGAAACTTACACAGAACCCTGTGAGACAACGACGGAGCCATGTCTAAATTCCACGTCTTCGGAACGACGAATGAGCCATGTGAGACCACGACGGAGCCATGTCTGGATTCCACGTTCTCGGAAACTACCACGGAGCTATGTGAGACTACGACGGAGCCGTGTCTGAATTCCACGTCTTCAAAAACAACGAATGAGCCATGTGAGACCACGACGGAGCCATGTCTGAATTCCACGTCTTCCGAAACTACCACAGAACCCTGTGAGACCACGACGGAGCCATGTCTGAATTCCACGTCTCCTGAAGCTACTACGGAGCCATGTGAGACCACGACGGAGCCATGTCTGCTTTCCACGTCTTCTGAAACTACCACAGAACCCTGTGAGACCACGACGGAGCCATGTCTGAATTCCACGTCTTCGGACACTACTACGGAGCCATGTGAGACCACGACGGAGCCATGTCTGAATTCCACGTCTCCGGAAACTACCACAGAGCCATGTGAGACCACGACGGAGCCATGTCTGAATTCCACGTCTTCTGAAACTACCACAGAACCCCTGTGAGACCACGACCGGAGCCATGTCTGAATTCCACGTCTTCGGACACTACTACGGAGCCATGTGAGACCACGACGGAGCCATGTAAGACTACCACGGAGCCATGTCTGAATTCCACGTCATCAAAAACGACGAATGAGCCATGTCAGCCCCCCACGGACCCATGTCTGAATACCACGTCTACCGAAACTACCACAGAGCCCTGTGAGACCACGCCGGAGCCATGTCTGAATTCCACGTCTCCTGAAGCTACCACAGAACCCTGTGAGACCACGACGGAGCCATGTATGAATTCCACGTTTTCGGAAAAAACCACGGAGCCATGTGAGACCACGACGGAGCCATGTCTAATTCCACG